TAATACCATACTAAATACATACTGAAACAATCCAATTACTTAAATAGGTTAGGTTGATATATCTTTCAGTAGTTCCTGTGTATTTGATTATTGCATTTTCTATAAGTCTACTTTTAAATATCAGATATAATTACTTAAATTAGGTTTACTTGTAGTAACTTTAAAACAGTAAAGCTTTATTATGGTACATATAGTGTAAGACAGTAATAAGGCAAGAGTTAAAGAGCAGCAGTTGTTTTATTATTAGGAGAATATAGCACCTCTATAATAGGATTAGTTTAGAAAGATAATTGTAAGAAATCAGTAAAAAATACTAAAATGTGAAATGCTGTGAATAGCTAAAAAGAACAAACGAGGTAAAACTGAGTATAATAGGACTTGAAAGCATTAATGTGAATGGTTGGTTGCAGTGGCAGACCATCAGTTAACTTACATGGAAGTTAACGATTTTTATCCCATTTTGCTACCAAATTCCTCGCAAGAGCCATTAAGATAGGAAAAGGTCATTCATCTTTGCAGATGAAAAGTCTAATGAACAGTCTATCAAAGAAGTACCTTCCTAAAAACCTATTTTTTCTGGACGCTATGTTAAAGCCTGACATTCTCAGAGAAAGTATTTTATGGTTTCTTTTTTCCTGCTGGTTCCCACAACTTCTGCAGTGAGAATTATGAGGAAAGCGTAGTTTTTCTGCTTAGTTTCCAATACACCAATGAACAGAAAGAACTGTAGTAAGCCCTGCAGTGCTCTCAGGATCTCTTTTGATGGTTGGTCTCTTGGGTAACATAAATCGGTATTGCCAGGGACACACCCAGAGAAGCACTAGAGCGGGCTAAACTTCGGTTTTTTCATTCACTTCGATATTTTTATGTCCAGGGACCCAGGTAAGGTTGATGTCAGCCAACGGGTTTAGCTCTTCGATTGCCTCTACATTCCTTTACTCTCTTTGATTTTGTGATGAACACTTCAAGAGCTTTGATTGGTGACTGGCTGTCAATGAAAATGACAACACTACCTCTATCCTTGATTTGATTTACAATTTACTGACATGCTTTCCTAATTACTATGAATATGACTGCAAGAAATAAAGATGACGGGGGAAAATATTCATCAAGTTTTGGATACGCTTATTAATAAATTTGGTTGTTGATAAATATTTTAATATATTAACCATATGTAGCTAGCTGTTGAAAACTAAGAACATTTATTAGTAAATGAGTGAAAAAATATTAACTTTGAAATAAAAACTCACTTCTTATTTTGTCAACATAAATATTAATTCGCTTA